ATAAAGCGTACAAGAACATTAAACGATTTTTTAGAGAATACAAAGATAAAGCCACTATACTTAGAGGAATAGATGGTAAGCACTAAATGAGTTGAAACACAACAAAACTACAGGCATAGACAACATAAGTGGAGAAATGTTAAAAGCAATGGAAGGTCAAGGAAAGGAGATATTATATAAAATAATATATAATGCATATGAAAAAGGGCTAGTTCCCAAAGATTTCGAGAAGTGCCTAATGATACCATTACCGAAAAAAAAGAAGTCAAAAAAATGCGAAGACCATAGAACCATAAGTCTAATAACACATGCATCGAAAATATTAACAAAAATAATTCACAAAAGAATAGAAGCAAAAATAAGTGTCAATCTAGAGGAAGACCAATTTGGTTTCAGGAGGAATAGAGGAACCAGGGAGGCTATATTGTGCTTAAGAATGATCATGGAAAAGATGTATAGAGTAAACAAGCCTATGTAGCGTTCATTGACTTAGAAAAAGCTTTTGACAACGTCAATTGGGAGATATTATTCAATATTATGAAAACCATAAATATCGATATTAAAGACAGAAGAATTATTCATAAGTTACACTTAAATGAAAAGGCTGTGATAACAGATAAAAGAAGCAAAGCATGGGAAGAAGCAAATATTGAAAAAGGAGTTAGACAAGGGTGTAACTTATCACCAACACTATTTAATCTGTACATTGAAAACACTCTAAAGCAATTAAGAGAAGAAAAAAATGGAGGAATTAAAATTAATGGTATGCTAGTACAAATGTTGCGCTTTGCAGACGACATAGCATTGATTGCGGAAAGTGAAGAAGCTTTAGGCAACATGTTAACAAAAATGAATGATAGCTGTAAAGAATACAAAATGAAAATAAATAAGAGCAAAACAAAAATATTAATATGCAGCAAGCAGAAATTGCTTTCGAACATAACGATTGAAAATGAGAAGCTGGAAACTGTTCAATGTTTTACATATCTAGGAAGTAAAATAACACATGATGGAAGAAGCGAAATGGACATAAAGAGCAGAATAGCACAAGCAAAACAGGCATTTTACCAAAAGAAACACCTATTAACGGCAAACACTGTTAGCTTAAACACCAGGAAAAATCTTATAAAGAGTTTTATATGGACTATAGCCCTCTATGGGGCAGAAACATGGACGATATTAAAAGCGGAAATAAAAAAGATTGAAGCATTTGAAACATGGTGTTGGAGAAGAGCACTGAAAATTTCTTGGACAGAGAAAGTTAAAAATGAGGAAGTATACCTAAAAATGAACGAACAAAAAGCAATATGGACGACAATCAAAGAAAAGAGGAAAAAATGGATCGGCTATATTATGAGAAATAATGAATGGATAATAACAGAAGGAAAAATAGAAGGAAAAGCTGGAAAGGGTAGACCAAGAACACCATTTATGAAACAGATCATAGACGATATAGGGGAAACCAACTATAAGGAACTAAAAGTAGCTGTAATGGATAGGGATAAGTGGAGAGCCATCAAAGTCATTTAACCAATCTAAAGATTGAAAAAAAAAAACATAATATATATTACATATTAATTATTTTCCAAGGTTAATCCTATATAGCAAGGATGGGCAACTGGCGGCACGCGTACATTTTTTATCTGGCCCGTGTTATATTTTCAAATTACTTCATAACATTTCAATCATGTTGATCGTAAAATTAAAATATATTTTTCTCAAGTATTAAACTGCAGCCAATTTATTAAATGTCTAAATATATAAATATATATAATATGCATATTATAATGTATTATATATATATATAAATTACATTATTATATTACATTTATCTATATTGGCATAGCTAACATAGCTGTAAGTATTGGGTAAGTATTATTGAGTTGGTTTAATCGTAAAATTAAATTATATAAAATAAAAGCTACTTGTCAATTTTAATAATTTAATTTTTTGCTTTCTTTACTCTGATCCACCAAATTTTAAAGTTCTATAAATTGGCCCACTAGTTTCTTTGAGTTTCCCATCCCTGCTAAACAGGAACGCGTTATTCTATAAGGGTATTAGTGTCAAATATTAAGTGAATTATTATTACACGCAGTGGTGATTAAGAAAGGGATGTGATGTTTTCGTGAAATTTAAAATAGAGTAGAATGAGTAATTATTTCATCATTACTTTTTTATAATTTGTTTTTAACCGTTTACGTTAAAAAGAACGAATTAATATAAAAAAATATTTGAGTCTTATATCTGATATTTATTATTTTACGATAACAACAGTTAATTTTACTTAGATAACATTGTAACTTTAACATATTAAGATTTTATACAAAAATTAAAAAAAAATAGGAGCTAACCTTAAACTGTAATTTTTTTCCCTGTGGTAATTTGATCCATCTATTATGTAATACGAATGTAATTATTCATATTATAAATTTGAACTAATTTAAAATTAAAGTTTTTTGTCTTTAGGAAAAAAAAATATGTAAATAACTTCAATGATCATTTTTGAAGGACAAGTAAAAACGAAATGTAAAAATGTTGATTAGACCATTTAAAATAGTTTAATACATAGCGTGTACTTTATAATCTTACCCACTGACTTGTCCAGATAACGAAACGTCCCACGACGTTCACAATTACAAGACATATACTTAGTAGATACAGGATTTGAGATCTGCATCGTAATATTTGTAATAATATAGAAACAATGTAGTAGCATACATTTTTTTTTAACAATTCAGAATGATTATACAACCATTATATTCTAACTACAGAGATTTAAAATATTCGAATATATCTATAACATACTGTTATTTAAAATATTTTGATGAAAATTCATTGTTTTGATGATATAATGTAGTGATCGGAAAAATCCGGACTCGTCGAAGTTCGAAAATTTAGATTCTTGAGATTCGGATTTCGGTTTTTAAAAAATTGAATTAGTATTATTTAATGTACGATTTATAATAAATTTTTGGTAACTACACATATTTTGTATTGATTTTTTAATTAGAATACAGAATTCCACAACACTAAGCTCAAATTTCGGATATTGAAATCCGTAATCCAAAATTCGAAATGCGATCATTGTGTCCTTTAGTCTTCTACTGGTCACACGTTAGTCTCTGCCCACTCAATATTTTCACAGTCGTACTCCGGTTTTAACTCTCATCGCTAGGTTTTATTTTTACCGTTGTGTTTTATTAATCATATCAAATATGTTCAAGTGCGTTCAGTGTAACAGAATGTTCTCTAGCAAAGATAATTTAACGATACACGCTAAAATCCTTAGCGGTATACGAGTATCTTGCAGTATATGTCCTATGACATATAACCGACGTGACAGTCTTGCAAGATTATACGAGTATCATGGCCGTATCCAGCCATTATTTTTGGGGGGGGTTTTCAATTTAAGATGAAACTAGAACATGATTTTTAGAATTTTAACCAATTCAAACCATATTAGTTTTTAGGTTTAAAAATGTACTTATATTATTTACCATATTATATAATATACATTCTGCTTTAATACTTACTACTCGTAAGGTATTTCAATTGACAACCACATTTTACATGTAAATATTTTTATAGTTATATAATTATAATTAGAGTAAGTATATTTAATAATTATTAAAACATGTAACTTACATTTTTTAATTTGACAATTTATAGGATTATTAATTTTAAAGTAACATTATTTTTCTTGATGATTTTGAAAACTGAGTAAGTACCTCTTCTGGATCAACATTGATGTCCCGGTGAACTGACATTAAAGCCAATCCATTGAGGCGTGTTTCACCAGTCGAATTTCTGAGATACGTTTTCAATCTTTTTAAAGATGAAAATGTTCTTTCTGGTGTCGCTGTTGACATAGGCATAGTAACTAAGACTTGTAGAAGTTTCCTTATGTTAGGAAATAAAAGAGGGTTACAATTGTCAAGTCCTGCAATTGCTGTTTTTGGGCGAGATCCTTCTTTTAGCCACTTTGTCTTCCATATTGTAAATTCAGCTTTGAAAGCATTAGGCTCAATCAATATCTGAGAATAAAAGTTTACACAGTCGTTTATTTCTTCATTGGTAGCGATTATACATTTACTTGGAATGATTTGTTGTAATGAACTTATTAAAGATTTGTGTTTCTGAAATCTATCACAAAGCTGTGATCTGATATAGTCGAGAAATGGCAAAAAAATATTAAAATTGTAATACTCTTCAGAGCTATGAGAGGGCACATTACTACGGTGTGTTTGTTTATTAGCGATACGAGGCAAAACAATGTCTTCTTTATTTTTATTCAACATGATGGCAACAACAGAAAACAGGTCTGAAAAAATGTTGTTTGTTATTTTCTCTCATTTCGTCTAATACGGCTAACACATCATCAACATGATTGCATGCTTCGACTAAATCAGCATTAATTGTCTGTAGCTGTTTACACAATGTCAATGTATACGAAAAAATATTTTCAATTATTACGAGAGGTATAACAAATTTAGCGTCTTTAATTGTACTTAATAACTGACAAGACTTTTGAGCAGTTTCTTTATTTATTGATGACTCCAATTTTTCCAATGCAACAATAATAGCGGGATATAGTTCTTTGAACCGCATGACACTTTCATGCTTATAAACCCAACGAGTTTCACATAATGCAACTAATGTGGTATGCTTTGTCTCTGAAAGAGTTTCGATAATAGTTGTTCTCAATAATTCACTTCTTTGAGCCGATGAGCGAAAAAATGTTCCAACAGTTTGAATGGTGCTAATACAGTTTCTTATTGAGGGCAATGAACAGGCGTTGGCCAACGCTAGATTGAGTGAGTGAGCACTGCAATGTACATAAAGTGCCATGGGAAAATCTTTTTTTATGTATTCTTGAGCACCATGTAAATATCCACTCATGGCAGAGGCTCTATCGTAACCTTGTCCAACTAAAAATTGACAATGTATACTGTTCTTCTGTAAACACCCCATTATCAAAGTTGCTAGTCCTTTTCCACTAAGATCAACAGCCGGTGTAAATTCTAAAAAATCTTCTCGAATTTTTTTATCTTTTTGATCATAATAACGCAAACATACAGACATTTGTTCAATTCTTCCAATATCTGTAGTTTCGTCCGCTAACACAGAAAAGCACTCGGCAGCATTTACTCTTTGGACAATTTTTGACTTGATTATTTCACCACAAATAGAAATTATGTCATTTTGAATACCAGGACTAGTATATAAAGAATTTCTTGGACCATTTTTCAAATGTTCTCCTAGCATAGTGTCACCTGAATCTACACGAAACCGTAAAAGAGCTCTAAAATTTCCGTCATTAAAATCATCCGAATTAGTTATCCGAATTAGTTCTATTCGAGTTGAAATTAAACATCGACGATTATTCTAATAAGGTATGTACACTATCAAAATTTGAAGAATACTAAAAATAACTTCGTAAATACTCTGGTGCGTCCATATGAACAGCCAAAGCTATGGGCAGGCGACAACGTCAGTCGTGATCTTATCTCATTGTATACATAGTTTTACCCGTCGTAAAGCAGTGCACTGTTTTAGATTCAATTTTTGCGCGTAGACATTCTCGTAGACAATTCTATTTTATTTACACAATAATAATAAGTCTGGGATAATAATTTACCTTATGTGCGACTTAGACGATGAATTAAGAAACACTTTTCTATTGAATTTCAATTGAATACAGAAAAAAAACATCAAGTGAATAGGCAAAAAAAAAATGTTGAACAAATTTTGGGGGGGGTTTGAACCCGGAAAACCCTCCCCCTGAATACGGCCATGATGGTATGTATATATGTATATGTATACGCTTTCGGAAAATAGCACTACATTGTTTTTGAAATTATCGATAACAATTAACGATGAACAAGGTCGTAAAACGAATGAGACGGACGATCAACAGTCTCAATTCTATTATTATAGATGCCATATAAAAGTTCGGAGGGACAAATTATTGAAATGTAATAAGAGAAGACCACCTTTCTTCAATATGTAAATTCATTTTTAATGCTCACATGCTTTTAAACCTTTTAACTTTTTACAAAAAAAAAAAAAAATATTTTATAACCTCAAAAGGTAAAAACACAATAGTAATAATAACAATAATCAATAGTTGATACTTGATATATGATAATAATATAATGTTGATAACATAATTAAATAATTATTGAATTGCTGTTTCAACACAAATCATAGGAATAATGGTTTATGTATGGAGTCCGTGAGACTAGTCTCAGTTAGGGACGTGGTATCGAAAGAAAAGTATCGACACTTTTACTTGGTATCGAATCGAATGAAAATACCGATATGAGTAAAATATCGAAACGAAAAGAACGATATGAGTAAGTATCGAAAGAAAAGTATGGTTTTACTTCGTCGTATCGTCGTATCGAATCGAATTAAAATAATAATAAGTAAAAATTTATATAAATAGTCAATAGTTGAACAAAGTTAAAATTTATGTTTTTTTAAAATTTTATGAACGGCATTATGAGAAATGCCTATTTCAAAGCCGACATGTTAATGTTAATTAATTTTATTTTTATTATTGCAAAATTACATTTATTCGTCATCTTATGAATTGTTCAAACTTCTCTCCATTACAATTTAAACATGTCAATTTTATTTCTATTATTGGATATTTTAAATGACCATTAAGTGATAGGTACGGGTTTTCTAAATCATTTTACATCTGTTCTTATCTGAATATTAGGTAATTTAAAAACGATCAAATGACTGTTTTCATCTCAAATAGGCCAGTGCAACTACTATTGTTTCGTATTTGCTTTTCAGTCATATTTTACGAATTCACGCGTGTTTATTAAACAATAGTTAAATTACAATAAATAATTTCATAATTGAAATAGCTTGTTACTTAAACAAAATATGAATAATTCAGAAAAAGTTGATATGCTTTTTGTTTACTGGGAATGTGAAAAAAATTCACGTCTGGCTGCACGTGCTTATGCTGAACGTTACCCAAGTATGTATTTATTATTTATTAGTACTATTTATAATTTTTCGTGTTGGTGAAAATAATAAAACAATTTTATTTTATACAATATAACAATATTATTTTTCTAAATTCAGATAGGGAACACCCGTCACACAGTTATTTCCATGAGTTAGAAAGAAATACTGGTTCTTTTTCTAACACTAGAGTTATAGCCAACCAACAACCTATACAAGTTAATGCATTGGGGGAAGATATTGAGCTTCGAGTGCTGGCGTACGTAAGAGCAAATCCCAGAGTTAGTACGCGTCATGTCGGCTTTAAAATAGGCATTTCTCATAATGCCGTTCATAAAATTTTAAAAAAACAAATTTCATCCATACAGGCCTGATTTAGTTCAATATTTACGCCAAGGTGATGCTGAGCGTAGAATTATGTTTATTTCTTGGTTGGTAACTCAATTAGAAGACAATCCTTTTATTTTAAATTACATATTATGGACAGATGAATCCAAATTTACCAACAATGGAGTAATAAATAAACAAAATAATCGATATTGGGACACTCAAAATCCCCATTGGGTTTTTGAAACAAATAATCAATGTATCTGGGGAATAAATGTTTGGTGTGGTTTGATTGGATGTAAATTGTTGGGACCTTATTTCTACGACGGTACATTAAATGGAAGACGGTATTTGGAATTTATAATGAATGAGCTACCGATCATGCTAGACGACATCCCTCTTGCAACAAGAAACAATTTGATTTTGCAACAAGATGGAACCCCGGCACACAATGCAAATGTTGTGAAGAATTATTTAAATGAACATTTTGAAAATCGTTGGATAGGAACTAATGGTATAATAAAGTGGCCACCTCGATCCCCA